CCCTATTAGCTCCCGATGTTACCGCCTCAGGACCTGCTCAATGCACAACGCAAGTCTCTAGATTGTCATCCATGTCCCTTTCACTTAATTAAGGCTGAATGCCAATACAACAGCGTTACTCGCAAGAATAAGATACTATTAACAAGGTCAACGGAGTAACTATAGGAGAAAAAGTTGCTTTTGGAAGGATTATGTGCAAGTATAGACAGGCAGTTCTATTTAAGGACTTTTTAGCTACTAATAGAACTTGGCCATTTTAATGTACCTCCCAATATCCACAAGTGCGGAAAGGTGCCGTGAGTGCATGGAAATAGTTAAACATCGGCGTACTTGCTTGAGTTTCCGCCTTTGTCCAAGGGATACTTGGATTTTGGTGGGCTGTTATTGTACTTGGATGTATTCCCCATCCACATCCATAATCAGTATCCATATGCAGTAAGTAGGTATACAAATCTCTGCTCACAACTTCACATCAGTGGAGAGAAGCGTCAGTGCAGAGAAAGACCCATGGCAGCCCCAGCAGAGTTAAGATGCAGACCAACGAGGACATCATCTCGAGTCTGTCAACCAGTTGCTTCCCCATTGCATCATGCTCCCTTAACCATCCGATCCTAGCAGTCTCTAGCCCTATGCTTCAGCCACCTTATCCGGCAGTTGCATGATGGCTAGTGGCGTGCCAACGTGCATATCCTATGACGATCCATGCCCAAAAGCTTTAGTCTTCTCGAATGCTTTTAGAATCCCTGCCGCCATGGCTCATACTGAGTCAGGCATTGATAGCCAAGCCACCGCCGCTCTCAACACCCCCATCGTGGCTTAGGTCCCCAAAGTCTGTTATCCACAAGGCTCAGTTTCATCCAACAAGGCTAATAAAAAGGCTGACGGCCAAGAAGATGAAGGCAATAGAAAAGATAAAAATAGGAATAAAGAGACAGAATTAAGGAAATATGAGAAAAATATACACAATTGCATGGATGGTTCCCGTAGGATAACCAAAAATAGTTTCATTAATTAGTTAGTTGCATCTTTGATAAGGCGACGTTTTTACGTAAACTGACATTGCCGCTAAGCTGCTGCATGAATGACGATCATTATATAAAGACTGCATAGAGGATGTCAAAAACAGACATCTTCAAGCTTCTCATAGTGTTTAAGAACAACAATGGCTCGAATTCATTCCTTGCTCCTGCTTCTGGCGACTGCTGCACCGTCTATCGGTGTATACGCACAGCTACCAGCAGCACCTTCCTCGACCAACCACTCGACATCGCCCTTTACCCTCGAAACTGACGATTTTGTCGCATCTCTCTTGGCCAAGTTTCAGGTTCCTGGTTGCTCCGTCGCCGTCATCAACGGCGAAGAGACCTTTACCAAGGTAACAAAATCAAAGAAGCCACCCAACACGGCTTACACCACTTGTTGCTAACTTTGTGATTCCCAGGGCTATGGCTTCGCTACGCTTCCAGACGTCAAGGCTACCCCCGAGACTTTGTGGTTTGGCGCATCGACCACAAAGGCCTTTGTGGGCGCGACCCTGGCGCACTTTGTCCAGAACAAGACGTACCCGGACGTGCTCACCGACGGCTGGTACACGCCCATCTCGTCCATTATCCCAGACGACTTTAAACTCTCCGACGAATGGGCCACTAAGCACATCAACCTCGACGACGCCATCAGCCACCGTACCGGCCTACCGCGCCACGACTACACCTGGCAATACACCACACCCAACGGCACCCGCACGTCCGCCCGCGACATTGTGCGCAACCTGCGTAACCTCGCCTTTACGGCCGAGCCCAGAATCGCCTACCAGTACAGCAACCTCATTTACATGACTCTGTCGCACGTCATTGAGACCCTTGCTAAGAAACCGCTCAAGACGACGTTCAAGGAGCTCATCTGGGGCCCTCTCAACATGACGTCGACCTTCCTCGACCTGGCCGAGGCCAAGGCCTCGCCAAACCAGCTCGCCACGGGCTACTACTGGGACAATGCCACGCAAAAGCACAGTGCCATTACACGCGACTACTTGCAAGAGGCTGGCGCCGCCGGCATCATCACAAGCGTCGTCGACCACGCCAAGTGGGTGCGCAGCCTGCTCTACTCGACGGGGCCACTCTCGGAGAACGCGCACACCGACATTAAGCGGCCGCGTGTGATTGCAGAGTATGACCCGGCTGCTAACATGACGTACGGCTTGTACGGGCTCGGCTGGGAGACCACCACCTTTCACAACGAGACTCTGATCCGCCACATCGGCGAGAGCCTGTCGTTTGGCTCTCTGGTCTGGTGGATGCCAGACCGTAAGTTTGGCGTCGTCGTCATGAGCAACGTCTACAAACAGGGCAACTTCCTAAACGATGTCCTGGCGCGCCACCTGGTTGAGGATGCCCTGAGCATTCCCAAGGCCAAACGCTTCGACATGGCTAAAGTGTAAGTGAAAATCAATACCTGACAGAAAACAGAAGACATTTTTCTTTATTGTTGAAAACTAACACGCGAGTGCTATAGACGCAGAAATGCGCTGGACGAGTTGGATCGCGCGCCAGCCAGCGCTGTGGACAAAGCCTTCCCCAACAAGCCGGACCGAAGCATCCCCCCCTCGGCGAGCATCAACGATCTCGTGGGCGAATACCACAACGAAGGTTACGGCAGTCTTGTCTTCAAGCCCACTAACATCACCATCACCCCACCACCCACCAACGGGACGAGCAGCGGCCTCGCCTTGCTGGCCGAGCGCCCCGAAATGGTCTATCAGTACAATGTCCATTTAGAGCACGTCTCGGGCGATGACTGGCTCGCTATCTACAAATCGGCCCTCGGTTCGCGTCTTCCCTTGGAGCCTTTTCCATCAAAGTTTAGGCTCAACGGCACGGCGCCCGAGCTGGACATTCTCATGGGATACAAAGGGAACGGTGTCAAGCAGTATACTGTCACTTTCAAAAAGGTCGCCAAGAAATAAACCAAAGCCGAAAGTTTTTGGATTGGCATGGTACATGTATCTATAGAATGATTTAGTAGGAAAAAAAAAAGAAGAAAAAATATACATGTATTGTGTCAAGCGTTGCAAAGACCCTCATCAGCGGCTCGACCCTCTCCTCGTATTCGTACCTGTACTCTGGGTCCATGGCCTCGAACAATGCGCACATCTAATTCTGGCACGGGCGTTTTGCCAAAAAAAAAAAATTTACTTTGAAGCACATAAAATAAAAATAAACACACTCGGGTGGAAAGATGAAAGAAAGATTATCATCAATGGCAAGAAAGAAACTTGGCGAGGATGCTGGCGGCACCTCTTTCGCCGCGAATAGAACCCGGGTTTCAAGTGTGACGAGCTTGTATATCCTGACCACTATCACGGAACATGTCAACAACTGTAAACTAGCTATCATACTGTGGATCGGACAGCTAGCAAGACCAAGATGTATTTGAACCTTGTCGCAAAAAAGGTCAACGTGTATTTTCATCCTCTGCTTGTCGATATAGACATTAATGAACCCGTCAGAGTACTTGTCAAACCAGGACTTTGGTGAAAGGATTAATGTAAAACATTCATATCGCAATTCTATAACACATTTTTTACACCATCTCTATGCAGCATAAACTGTTAGATAACCTCCCGCCGCCCCCCTTTCACCTTTTTTTACAGCTCATCGCGCGACGCCTTACCCTCGAGGTCCTCCATGGCCATAATCTTGACCACCAGACTCGTCCAGCCCGTAAAGTGCTGCGTGCGCTGTCCGGCACCCGTCTCCGGGTTGTACTGCTCCCATGCAAAGCCCGTCTCCTTCCAGCTATTGTATACAGTATGTACGAGGTTCTTGCGCAGACGTATGTACAGGTCGCGGGCCTTTTGGCTATGAGGGCCGCTCTGCGTGGCAACGTGCTATGCTTTGGTCAGCTTTCACAAATCTCATGCAGTTTGAGTTAATGGGATAAACAGTTCGACTTACGTGAAGCTGCTTCACAGCTAGGTAGTTCATGGGCATCCAGATAGGGCTGCGCCAGTAGTTTTCCTCTGTTCCGTAAAACTCGGATTGCTTGCTCAGACTACGAATGCCATATGGGCTAAAGAGGTGTTCCTCGTCGCCGAGAAGATCCAGAATACGGCCCAGCTTGGGGTCCTTGGGCTTCATCAGACCAACGAGAAAGGGCATAATGGAAATATAGCCTTTGTGGCAGACAAGAGTGTGCTCCTCAAAGTCGTCCAGGGAAGCATCGCAGTAGCAGCCCTCCTTCTCTGACCAGTGCAAATCATTCAGGTTGTGTTCGATAGCATTGAGATTCTTTTCCATATCGGCGACGTCCTCGGCAATGCCAAGAGCATCAGCAATGTTGACGAGCGACTTGGTCATCAGACCAACCCAGGTAAGCAAGTCGACATGCAGCTCGCCGGGCGAAGGGGGGCTGGGTCGGGGGTAGTCGTCAAGTCCACTGGTCAAGCAGTGCGTCTCGCTACGGCCTCGCCAGCGATAGGCTTCGCGGGTGGAAAACGCCTCGCGGTCATAGGTCTTAACATCACCGCGCTGAGTGCGACGGAACCACTGATACTGACGCTGCAGCAGAGGATAAATGTTGCGCAGATAGGATTCGCCGAGCTCAGTGTTCTTCAGGTGTGCGTCATGAAGGTCATCTTCCTGGCCTAGGGTCTCTTTCTTGGCCTCGACCGATCCGTTGAACTTGCGAAGCTGCTCCATGAAATCCTCAATGACGAGGAAGAGCGTCGGCGGGTTAGCGTAGTGAGGATACTGGATCTGGAACTCGGGAGGCACCTTGCTGCGAGCCTCATGTCCGAGAATCTGCTCACGAGGAATCCAGCCATCTTCATCCATGGTGTTGTACCAGCTTTTGACAACGTCTAGAGCAAGATCGACATCCCAGTCTGCAATGGGCATAAGATGGAAGCCTTCGTCCCAGAGAAATCCACGAGGAAAGAATGGACGCGAGGGAACGCTGGTAAAGAGCTCATAAGGACCCTCGAGAGCAGCCTTTTGGCGGGCTCTGGCTTCCGCTGCACCCTCCCAGAAGCGGTCGTCGTCCTCTTCATATTCCTCTGCGTACGAGCGATCAATAATCTGCTCGCCGTGAAAGTACCCGACACCACCAAGGAGGTTGGAAAACATGCTCTTGCCGAATTGCAAGTACTTGCTGCCATCAAAGGGAGCCTTGAAATCGAAAATCTTGGAGAAACGTTGCCCAAAGAGTTCTGAAGTCTGTTTAATCTCCCGTGTAACATCCGACGAAGTTAATTGCTTGCCGGCTGAAGCAGACGAAAAGATGACATCGAATTCAAACTCGCCCTGGAAATTCTTCTGTACGACGTGCGCGTTACCGGACCCTGGTTTGTTGGCGATACGGTAGACCTGCCACGGGAACGGCGCATTCTCTTGCTCGTAATCGTGCTGAATCTCCATTGCAGAAGCCTGCAGCAGCTTGAAAACGGCTGCTTTGCCCTGCCAGAGCTCATGTTCGGGGAGCTGCAGGCTGTGCACCAAGGTAGTGTCCGTCTTGCGCCTCTTGGCTAGATCGTGATCCGTGGTGGGATGCTTGCCCTTGCCCTCGGTGACAACGACAGTGTAGTCGCCAAGAGATTTAGAGCTGCCCTTCAAGGCAACATCACCGGTATATCCAAACTCGGTAGATTCTGTCTCAACAGAGAGCTCGCCTTCGCCGTCTTGCGCAATGTAGTAGTAGAGCATAGTGTTGATGTCCTTGGGTACGCCCTCGCGAGGCACGCCCTTGATGCGCGCAGCCCAGCTGCCGCCGTGTTCGCCGCCCGGGACCTTGACAAACGACGTCGTAATGTCAATCGAGTTGCCCTTGTCATGGATTGTTTGGATACCGCCGTGTCGCGCATCAAATTCGTCCCAGCCGTAGCCGTGCGCATGCTCGCCCTGCTCGCAGGTGTATCGAAAGCCTGCATCCTATTAGCAGCGTGCCATTTGTTCGAGGGCCAGACTCGGGCCAGAATATACCTTGCTGAACTTCGCCGTAATCATCGACTTTAGACCACATCAAGCCCGTCCATAGACCCTCTGGTGTTCTTGGTCGTACTCCAAAGTACAAATTAGGCTTGTATGGGCCCCAGAAGAGGCTCTGGTTATTTTGACGGCCAATCTCTGCGGTGAGAATTGATTCGCCTGTTGCGGCGGCCGTTCCAATGGCCACTGCCGTGGCGAACCATGGCGCGAGTCGCGCCATGTCGATTGCTGGCGAGAACGCGATAATCTTGGGCTATCAAGTTGGGCCTGGTTGCAATTGACGGCTGGGTAACCTCTTTGCGATTGTAAAGTGCCGTCACTGACGGGTGAGAACGAGTGTTTGTCGCCGTGGACACTGTGTAATCGGGAGACGTGGCTCGTGGGTGCTTCAACCACGTATTTACAGCAGCTCCCCGCTATAAACCAGGAGCTCCTGAATACCTAAGTGGCTCAGACTGGCGCTACTGGCCTATGTAGATGCAGTTACCAAAAGTTGGCAGGCAGATTTACGGTTGATGGAAATAGAAAAGTATATTTTGGTATATTTTGTATTATTCGTAGTTACTAAATTAATTGAAATATATGCATAGAAAGTAGTTATGAAGCCGCTGGCAAGATCGCCAAATTCGCAGCTACTGTGCTGTTAGCCTCTAGTGTGATGGAGGTGGGTGCCTGACATCTAGCCACTCCTGGTGCCTGCCCCAGCCACATCCCGCCACCTTCTGCGTCATTCGTGACTTGGTTCTTGTAGCAGCTTCTCCCGCAAAGGGTTCTCCCATCTTCATTTAACATCTGCAGGATCCTTCAGGTATTTCTTTGCATGATTCTTCATCATGTCGAGCGACTCGCTATCGTTCCTGCTGAACGGGAATCTTAGGCCGTCACCGCCTGTTAGGCAGGCCCTGTTGCCTGTCAACATTGTCCAACTCGATGTCGACGAGACCTCGGGTTCGACGATGAAATCTCGGAATGTTTCGAATTCCCATTCCTTCATCGGGGCGAACTTGTTCTGTACCAGACCACCGTTGAACCAGAGCGGCTGTCCGTCCACGCCTAGATGTAGCAGTTGGGGCGAGCAGATTGTGATTTCCTTTCGAGCACTCTTGTCGGCTTCGGCTGTCGCGTTTGCGTTGGCTGACCTCTTTAGTTCCTCGGTGGCAGCTTCGTTGTTGTTAGAAGCCTTTTTGTTCTTCTCTTCCTCGTCTATGCCCATGACGCCGACACGACCACGGTGAAAAGCATAGTCTGTATCACCGGCGAGCTCCCAGCCAATCCAAAACGTTTCCTTGTCACCTAAAGTATCCGTTAGTTTCGGCTCATTCCGGGCTGTGAGTCTGTCAACTCACCATATACCATGTCATAAACGCCAGATGTGCCCTTTGCCTTGTCGCCTTCTCTTTCAGGGCCATTCAGGCGACAGACGATGAGCATGGAAATGAAATGGCGCCATTTGTCGATGACGACAACCCCAGACTCCTGCATTTGTCCGCTCTCTCCTTTCCAATACCGACTGTCGAGAACCTGCGCTGAAACAGGCTTGGGAAGCACTTTCTTTAGCCAGTCCTTCTTCCACTCGCGCCAGAGTGCCCGGTCCTTGAAGAACAGCGCGCCTGTTCGCTGGTAGTCTTGATCCTCGAATAGCATCTCTGGATCGTGGAAAAAGAGACTGTCTGCGTCGATGAAGATTGCCTCGCGAAAGCTGGAGAATAAGATTGCGTAGGGCTTGGCGGCCCAGCCAGTCAACTTCCAGCCTCTATCGTCCACCATTGGCGCCATCTCCCGGGTGGTGACGCCATCAAGGGCTGAAAGCTCTTCTTGAACCTCGACATTGAGGTCCGCGTCATCCAGGTACATGACTTCGATGGGTAGGGTGCATCCGACACCGCGCAAACTATCGACCAGCGTCCTCAGGTGCGGCGCTTGCTTATTGCCGGCGGTGACAACGATGCCTCGGCCTCCGTGCTTCAAGTTTAGGTGCAAAGTCATGTGGTCAGCAAAGTATGGCGCGGTCCAGCCAGCCACCAACTTCTCAAACTTGCACATAAAAGACTTGTACTTTTCGTATGTGCGAACCATTAGCTCGACCTCGGCGGCGGCGAGCTTGGCCAAGCCCGTGGAGAAGTAGTGACGGATATAGTGAGCCATGTCGGATCTGATGAATGTCTCTTCGGGACCTCCTTGCACCAAATGCAGTGTCTCCCAGGCTTCAAAGTACTTTCGATAATCACGAGCGCGAAGGCCAATCTCCCGCAGCTTCTCCGCGCCTGAGCTTTCGAAGGCGTGTAACAACCAGCGAGCCTCCATGTCGCTGGGTAGTAGTTCATCCACGCGGCGTAAGGCGTCCTCAAAGTCGACGTTCCGTACTTGTTCTGGCTCCTGCGGGTTCTGCTGCTGAACAGTCAAACTTGGCAGGTCGATGTCGTCGGTGCTATACTCTCCTGGAGCGGTGTATAACGTCCTCTCCGCGGTCGGCATGACTGAGCAAACGCCAAATAGACTCCCTAGGCGACTCAAGCTACCGACATACAAGTATAGCAGACACAGTAGGAAGAAGCTGCTCAATAATAGTCTGGCACAGCGAACGGCTCGTCTCTGCCGCCCAAACTTGCTGAACTCGCGCCTGGGCGCCAAGCGCCGCAAACTGCTCAATGCCAGCATCGAGAAGGGCGAATGTGAAGATTATACTGAATGAAAAATAAAAAAGAGAAAGATAACGGCATCAAGATTCATAGGTCCGTCGCGACACTGTGCTGCGTGTAAAACGGAGATTGAAAGTCTCTTGGGTCGGGGCCTACGGAAAGATGATAGATTCGTCACCGGTGATGCAGTTATCAACGTATAAGCCAATACGAGTCGAGTCCCCTTTTTTTTTTTTCAATCTCCCTCTGTCATTTTTTTCATCAAATTCCACGCGGCTTGTGGCTTGACGGGTCCCTCGTTTCAATACTCGTATTTCAACGCTTTCGTTTAAAGTTCAGGTCGACGTACAAGAACGGCTGCCCTGACCGCGGCAATAAAAATCAACCTCGACCGTTTTCGTTGCAGAACCTTTTGATGCATATTTGATCCAACTTACTAGTTCAACTGACATTGACTTGCACGGGAACTAAGATTCATGAGACACACTAAAAGATGTCCCCCCCCCCCCCCCCTCCCTCCCCGCCTCTGAACCGTCAGCACCATTCCAAGTGATCCAACCAAGTAGCCACAGTCCCCATTGCCGTGGTGGAGCTGTAGACGTATAAAGGACGCGCGTTGCTATTTAATCCCTTGCCGGCCTCGGGGGGGGTTATTTCCCAGCTATAATAACGATGCCCTCCAATATTGTGTGAAAAGCCGGATGCATCTGGCGGATCGCCTACATGCATTCTCGCCGAACCTGCATGGCGGAGCCAAAGCGCACGCAAGGGTCAAAAATGAGCTTATTAGCTTTATTATTAGAACCCGTGCGATCCATTCATGACCAGGAACGAGCGTATCCAAGCGTAGTCCTCCTATCTTTTGGCGCTAGAGACAACAAGCGAGCGTTGAACAATGCGCCAGATGACCGAGCGGTGCATATACTTGGGCGAGCTGAACAATGCTTGCGTTGCGGTAGGTCATTTGCTCATCGTCAACCTTCTGTTTAGAGATTAGGATTGACCCGTGCCATGAAGAAGGCTTGTGACCGGTCCGGCTATGAAACGCTTGATGCTAGATGTAGACTACGGTAATAAGTTGGGGCAGCTCCGAGGCCCGTTTTTTTTTTCTGCTATAATACGGCTCTGCTATAAATAGTTTTGCGGCTGATTTACAATAAAAGTCGGGCAGCATCTCCTCGTCCGTCGGGATGTTTTTAGTAATAAGTGGTTGTCGCAGTTTGTCACGAGCTTTTATCAGGACAACGCCAAGACCAGCAAGAAGTGCTCTGTCAGGCGATGGTATGTTATGTGATGCACTTTGCAAAACTTAAATCTCGTGGCTATGTAGTTAAGAATAACTTTTATCAGTGCGCTTCTGTTTTGCCCATAATCTCGTCACACTGCGTCGCAAGAGTTCAAGTTTTCAGCGATGCGCTGCTCTGCAAAAACATGACTTGTTCTGTAACTGATCTTGCTAGCCACACTTCGACGAGTGCACACTTGACGCAGAGGACTTTGAAAAAAAAAAGTAGGAAAGATTTGAGATGCATTGCATGCAGTTCGCTGCAAGCCCTTCACGTGTCCCTCTATGCCGCTTTGGGATTTCAAAGTGGCATCCGAGTAGACATGCCGCGAAACACCTCTCATGATCCTTTAAACCAGCTTCGTAATTTTTTATGCACCGAGTATTTGCAATGCCTACAGCTTCGTGCATTGAGTCTTTACTCAAGGCATGAAGGGTTCTTGTTGTACGCTTGATGAAACGCAACGATGCGTTCTACCATGATTTCTTTGGGGTGGAATCTAACCCGTACCAAGTAACCAATTTTCTGTCCTTTCGTTCAATACTGCGGATTTCAACGGCAATTTGAAAATTTGATTCTTTGCATTCTTAGTCTGCTTGGGCTCGATGCTTTTGGTAGCAACTCTTGACAAGGATCACTTCATATACCATGCCACTATCGATAGTGTGTGGGGTATTGCATAACTCAAACGTTCCAGTAGTGGCCGTCTCCCGTTTAATGCCACATATAATGCACCGTTTCGTCTCGTTATATCCCTGTATCCTAACTTAGTCATTTATTTGAAGGCAAGATGGAACAGATCCATGCACCCACAACAGAAGTTGGGGTTCTCACTGAGATGCGCGCAGGGGTCATGCCAGTCGTCCGTCGTCGAACGAGGGTATTTATGCACTTGGCGACGGCCTGCTTCAGCGGCATGCGGGTGACAAAATAAATGGCCCATAATGAGGGTACCGAAGTTTAGCAGCTACCTAGATTAAATTAACTCTCTATAAACTCTAGGAAATATATATTTATTTTATATAATAGTAAGATTAGACTTTAGTAGTGAAATTATATCCTATATATTTTAAAGGTTTTTTTTTAGATTTTTCTATTATTTTCTACTCTATATAGCTTTCGCTAAGTATAATTAGACGCCTTAGCGAATAGGCTAGCTTTTTTATCACCTACTTTAAGCGAGAATGAGATGTAAGTGGAAAAAGCTCTAGCCGTATATTAGGTCGCTCCGCTGAGTACGTACCCCAGCGATGGTGATTTGAATTACAAGTATATGACTCGGTGAATATTCTATATATAACGTGTATGCTTAATATATATATATCAGCCATACGGGTCCGCATGCCCTAAATAAAGCCGTTAAAGTAGGTGATAAAAAAGCTAGCCTATTCGCTAAGGCGTCTATATTATACTTAGTAAAAGGTATATAGAATAGAAACTTATAAAAAGAATTAAAAAGACTTCTAAAATATAAAGGATATAATTTTATTACTAAAGTCTAATCTTACTATTATATAAAATAAATATATATTTCCTAGAGTTTATAGAGAGTTAATTAAATCTAGGTAGCTGCTAAGCTTCGGTACCGTCATTATAGGCCATTTATTTTGTCACCCGCATGGCCATCTAGTAGAGCATCATACATGTTTTATGACGTCACCAATTATATCAAATTTTAATACCAAGTATTCTTAATTCGCTCTGCAAAAGTCCACTTCGCAAATGATTGTCTCGAAAAAAATCCAGGCATCCAAGGTGTGCACTAATGCGTAGATTAGTGCTTGCACACCAAGGGAGCGGACTTATCCAAACCGTCGATAGTGGCAGTGCGAGAACGTACCCGTGAATCATGAAGCATGGCCATTACAGGCCTCGAACTTCTTCACAGCCGCTGTGTCTACCAATACTCAAAGGCGAGGCCTCAAGTTGTGATGCTTGCATGTCTGTGGCTCGTAGGTTGGCAAGTTGGGCACCGTGGCATCAGGATGGTATTGCACAGCCTCTCAGGTATCATTCCCCAAGAGGATTCATCTTTTCACTGCGGTGCTGACTGTCCGCCTTGTCAAGGGCCTGGCTGCAGCCCGATGCACGCGACGCTGCAAGGCAGGCAGCCCCTCCGCCCTTTCGAGCATGGCTGAGTTTGCCTTGCCAACAAGTTCTGCTGCTTTAAATTATCCTACGCTTCCTTGATCAAAGTCTCCTCTCCATCCAATACAACTGGCCAAATCACCCTCCGCAGAAATGGCCGAAATAGTAGGCGTCGTCGCTGCGGGCATTGCCTTTGGCGAGGTAGTCATCAAGATCAGCTCGCATATTTTTACGCTAAAGCACATGTGGAAGGAGTTCAAGGAGATGCCAGACTCCATCAAGCAACTCGTTGGAGACATTGAGCTGCTTGGATTGGTACTGCAGGAGATGGAAGCTGACATGACGAGCTCGACTGCAGACGGAATCGTCTGGGGTGGTGGCGTTGGCAGCCTCATTGTCCAGGCCTGTCGCAGCGCTCTCAATACCTTGTCCTTATCGGTCAATGACGTGTCGCAAGAGATACGAGCGACAAGAGGCATCAAAGTAGCGCTGGGAAAGGGTAAAATGGTGTTGAAGAAAGAGTTTTGGGCAAAGACGGAGAAGCGCTTGCAGGATGTCATGGGGCGGCTTCAGATTGCGCAGCAATGGTGGCTGATGTTGGTTGAAACGACCCAGAATAAGTGCAGACCTGCATTTCCACTAACAGGTTGAGCAGCGCTCTATCAAAACGACAAACTGATCTGATCGTCTGTCATCTGCAACCGGCGCGAATCGAGTCTCGGCTTATACAAGGCGAAGCCCCGTCCGAGGCCCAAGAACAGATGCATAACGTGCCAAATCAACGACACAGCACCTACAGACCAAATGAGTGTGCTGACCAAAGGCAAAACAAGCTAATTCAAAGGCATCTAGGACGGACGATTATTGGTAGCATGGCTGTTGATCGGGCACGGTCAAGCGACGGCAGCAACCACGGTACCACTTGCGACAAATACTTCATTCAAGTAAAACCTCCCAATTGGATCACTCGGAAAGCTTGGAGTATAGTATCCTCGATCAGCAGCGGCGGGTTCAATTTCAACCTTCGGGTATATTCTGTCGTGCCCCGTGACTCGTTAGTTTTGTACTTTGCCAGAGCCGGAGACATCAAAAGCCTGTTAGCCCTTTTTGATCAAAATCTTGCCTCGCCCTTTGATGTGTGCGAGGTCGGCCAAGGCTTGTTACATGCGAATTTATTTTACATGAACTACTTTATTAGCAAAAAGTATCTCTGCTAATTTCTGGTCAGTATGCGCTGAGCGGGCGCTGCGACACCCGTACCATCGCCACAATGGTTGACTGGGGCCTCGACCTAACAAGATGTCTTGATTCTGGTGATAAAAGCTCTTCCAATACACTCAGGGAGTTGGTGCGCCATTTTAATAGATACCGAGCTATCCATGAGTTTGTCGTTGCCAAAAATCTTGACCAAGACATCAGCGACTGCTGGCTTCTCCCTAGCTATAAGAGTAAGCAGCGCGACTGGCGATCAGTAACACCTCATCTTTCATGGTGTAGTGACTCATTGCGGTTATTTATACCTCACTTTCGACCTGGGCACTATCGTATGCATGTCCTTGACCGGCTGCGTCTCGCCACCAATCTCTTTTATAATCATGCAGACGACCTGCGCTATCTCCTTTGGATCGACGGAAAGGTGCAAAGAGACGATGTTCGGACTCTCGATGAGATTGGGCTTCCTCTGATGAATATTATTTCAAGCAATTACGCCCTACACCTACAGCTCCTGAACAACAGCCGCTCCACGGAAAGTTGGCGACAGCTTTCGAGAGAAATTGCTGGCCTGACGACTCTTCTTCACTCTACGGAAAAACCGTCACAGGTCACCATGGAAGCTCTCGAAGCCTGGTATGTACCCATTGGAACGGCCCTTTTCACGATTCTCAGGAATCAGACCGTTGTCGATGCTTGGCGTATACCGTCCTCGAGGGGGTTTTCACAGTGGAGGCGGGCCTTTGAGCGTGTCCTCCAGAATTGGCTCGAGGACCTACAGAGAGGCGGTATTGACTTGGAAAAATACGGGCAAGTGGAAGAAGAGATTTTTCGGCAAATGAATTGGTTCAAATCAACAGTCTTTCGCCAACCGAAAAGGTGGTACAGTTGTGGTCCAACCACGTATGCGCTCATCGGCTTCAATTACGGGTCAGAGCCAGAGGATTGGAGATTTGAGTGGGAACTAGACACAGATGAGCTAGTGGGAGAATTCTGGGAGCTGATTGACAACCAGGATATACGTATAGTTGGCTCATGGGTTGACTGATGACTAGGCCATGGTGATATTAGGACGCAGGTAAGATGCGAGGTGAAAGGGCAACAAACGGACCTGTCTTTGAGGCTGCGTCTTCTGTCGAGGGAGTCGAACGGTTTCTGATTGGACTGTCACTTCAATAGCTAAGCATATCAGCACTTGAAAAAACAGAATTATCCATCAAATTTCCTACTTGACCTTTGCGGAATTTTCATTAGGTTGAATGTCGCCTTCGCGTAGCCATATTGGTGTAAACATCATGCCACAAACAGTAAATATGAAGTCTGAGGTAATAGGAAAGCCCAAGTTACATCAAATCATACATACGATGATACTATTTCTCGGCGTGTTGACTTGTTCCTACCTCGTGCCACTTATACCCGTTTCTGGTGGGGACGCCCAAAAAAAGCTGGACATTGCATTTCGAGATCGCGCCCAACATCTCCCAAAACCAAGCCACCTTGACAGTCTTTCTTCTTTTCCCTTCCTCTTCTCTGCAACACTCAACCATAAAAGGAAAAGGAAAGGGAGCGCAGCGCAGAATCCCCAAGCCAAACTTCTCCTCGTTCACTAAGAAGAAAAAAAATGTCTGACCAGCGACGTGGTCGTCGCCCCGACACCCGCCGCGACTGGGACGCTCCCCCCGACCGACGCGACGACGCAGCGCCGACCCGCGGCGGCCGACGCAGCAACTACCGATCTCGGTCGCGCGACCGCCGTCACCACGGCGACAACAGCAGAGGAGCAGCCGCGGCGAGCCACGAGGATCGCTCCCGCTCGCCGGAGCGTCGCTCGAACCAGCAGCACCACAGCCATCGCGGGTACAGCGAGCGAGGAGGTGGAGGCCGCGGCGGTGGACGAGGGGGTCGTGATAGACGGGATGGAGATTACAAGCCCCGGCGGTACGACGAGCATCGTCGTCGGCGAGATTACTACGATGACGGCGGAGACGACGACGATGACCGTGACTACGACTTTGACCGCAGAGGTACGCATATCTTTCAAACACAAACGAACCTGTTTACACGAGCACGCGCGCTGACACAGTTTCTAGGAGCCCGTGACCGCCGCAGCCCGCCACGCCCGCGCGGCCGTTCCGAAGACCGCATGGACACTGATCCCAAACCCCCTACCACCTCCAAAAACACCAAACCCACCACAGCGGCGGCAGCAGCAGCAGTGCCCGTGACGGCAGAGGGCGGCGGCGGCGACGACGACGACGACGAAATGTCAGCCATGCAGGCCATGATGGGCTTTGGCGGCTTCGGCACCACCAAGAACAAGCACGTCGCCGGCAACAACGCCGGCGCCGTGCGCAAGGAGAAAAAGACCGAGTATCGGCAGTACATGAACCGTTTGGGCGGCTTCAACCGTGCTCTGAGTCCGACGCGGGATTAGCTCCATATCGTCGTCTCTTGTTTTCCCCTTCCTCTCAAAATACTTCTCTTAGCGATGGGCGTCTAGGTCTTATTCACTTTAGGTCATTTGCAATAAAAAAACATGACATCTCTGTTTGAAAGATGCTACAAAGGTTTTGATATGGAGGAAACAAAGCTTACAAGGACAAGTGACAAACCCAGGGGAAAACACAACCAGACCCAGTCTCTAAGCTAGTGATAACCTCTTCCACGGCAGCAACAAAGAAAAAAGGAGTATTGTAGAAAAACATACATCGTTTTCTAAACCTTTGCTCGTCTGAATAAACGAGCGCGAGGACAGCAAAAGTTGAAACAGAAAAAAGAGAAATTATGTGCGCTTATGTGCTTTGTAAAACATTACGTACTTTGTATAGTAAAGAGCGATCGCGAGATGTCTCTTCGTCTCCATCCACCCTTTGGAGCTCATAATCTCTCTCTTCCTTGGGCATGTCCTGCATTGGCCTCTGCCCTTTATGATTTGCCTTCTTCTCCTGCTTCCCCATTTTCTGACGGACCCGGAGCAGATACCTGCACCGACTCATCCTGGCCGGCAGCCGACGTATCTTCCTCTGCCATGTCGGCGGGTCTACCGACATCCTCAGCGTTGCTGACCGAAGCCTTCTCACGGCGACGGCGGCGCATCCGTCTCTCATCTTCGGCCGTTTGCCTTCTTGCCTTGCGAAGGCTCTCGCGTTTCTCGCTGTCCTCGGCGTCCCCGCCACGCATGCCCTGCAAGAGGGCGGCTGCTCGGTCAGCGACGTCATCATCGCCCTCGCGAGACTGTGTTCGGTCCGGGCTGGCGAGACCGGCTGGGCCGGTTGTGCTGGCTGTCATGCCTTCCTCCTCTTCAATCGTCTGTTCCGACGTCTTCAGCCCAACCTCCACCTCCGGTATCTCGTTAAGATCGGGAATCTTTTGCCCAGACGCCACGCGCACTTGATGGCGATCCTTGAGACGAGCCCGCCGCCGTCGGTCTCTCTGATCCCGAGCCTGCGGCGCTGCTGCCCGGAGTTTCTCAAGCAGCGAGTCCATCGCGCCAGTGCTGGTGGCAGAGGCTGAGCCTGGTTCGCTGGCGGCCAGTGCGGCCTTTTGCGCAGCGTGCTTTCGCTTCATTGAAGCCTCGTTGCGTTTGCGCGTTTCTTCCAGTTGAATGTTCTTCTCTCGCGACTTCTTCCATTCAGACAAAAAGTTAGCAAGCTTGGGAAAGAAATCCCGTCTGGCGTTCTCATCGGCTGGGTCTTCGCCGTAGAAAATCATTATGTCCTTGAATGTACGAATCATTTCGTCCAAGTAAAGCTGCATCTGCTCAGCCTTGCGACGGGCCTCCTTCATGCAGCGCTGCACAATCAAGCTGACGCGATCTTCAGGATGGAATTTCTTGGGGTCGCTGAGGTTGCCAGAGTCGAGAGACGTTTGGACATTGCGAATATTGCTAATGTACTTCTTGGCATCAGTCTCGAGTTGTTCGACATTCATCTTTTGTGCAGGAATGACGCCACCAATCTCAGAAGCAAAGTTCTCCCACGCCGGGTACTGGCTACGAACGATGCGCTCGACCAAGTCGGCAAGCGAAGACTCGTTCTTGTCATCCTTGACCATACCAAGCCGCGAGAGCGAGCTCAGCTTGAAGCCACGAGCTTGCTTATTGGCGTCGTTCATGTAATTGCCGATATCCAGAATGAGACCCAGGACATTCATCAGTGATACCGAGTCACGAAGGGACTCGGATACACTGATAACCTGGTGCATCTTGGCGTAAATTTCCTCATACTCCGCCTCGAAGCTCCTTGTCAGTGCCAAGGCACGCATTCTGCTCTTCCAGTAGTGGTGTAGTTCGAAAGCAGTATACAAGTAGATTTGGTCTTGCCTCGTCAAATCTGCTGGGTCCAATTCTCTTGCCTGAGTGGCAGCATCCGGTCCGGTAAGATCTCGGCTGTAAGGAGCCATCTGCTTGGATGTGTTGTCGGGAATGTTGCAAAGGTCGTCCTTTTGCAAAAAGTCCATGACAACAACGTTATCGAGCACCTCAACATCACAGTGAATAATCATTTGCACAATCTTCTCCACAGAATGCTGCGAGAACTTGGCCAAAGCAATTTCGTATGCTTTGCGCAAGTCTGCCGAGATGATTTGCTTCTTGTCATCTTTGCGCCCGGTAGCAGCCCCAATCTTCTTAATCTCCTTCGCCATAAATAGCTTCTCAACTTCGTCCAAGATACCCTTCCTACTAAGTTCAATATACTTTTCTTCGCGTGCCTCTGCTGATGGTGTGTGGGCCGCCCAATGACTTGTCTCGGGTGCATCGACCTTTTCCCAGTGAAGAGCCTTGAGCTTCTTCTTGGGCCTCGCGACAGGCAGGCCAACGCTAGGTGTAGCACTGTACGTAGGCTGGGGTAGGAAGCCGCCAGTCTTGGGACCAGGCATCGGCGGCGGCGGAGGAGGCATAGATGTGCCATCCGTTCCTATGGCAGGCAATCTCATGCCAGGCATAGGCGGGGGAGGTGGTGGAGGTGGAGGTGCGCCGGGGATCTGGCCGGGCATGGGAGGTGGCGGCGGTGCTCCGGGAATCTGTTGTGGCATGGGTGGTGGCGGTGGAGGCGGCGGAGGGGGTGGTCCGGCAAGCTGACCAGGCATAGGAGGCGGAGGCGGCGGAGGAGGGGGGGGAGCGGCACCAGCCGGTGTAACTGCAGTTGTAGAACCAGTCTTTAGGGTGTCCGTATCGGCGGGAGTCAGCGGCGCAGATGAATCCATGCTAGGATGCGAAGGCCCGGTAGTGACACCGTCATCCTCTTCATCGCTTCCATCATACTTTTTAACTTTAGACCCGAGCTCGTCAACAAGAACGGCTTGTTGCTTGGCATCAATAACAGGCCGCTTGAACTCGACTATTCTGGGGCGCTCGTACACAACACCGTCTTCCTCTTCCATCTCCGAAGCCTCTTCAATAGTCTCCTTATCAGAGACCTCGCCGTTTGTGTTGACAGGCTTGCGAGGAATACGAGTTTGCCGATGGATGCTGCCGAGAACGCTGTTGGTCAAGTCCCGAGGCGCAGCGGCAGAAGCTGCGTCGGCTTCATCATCTTCCATCTCTTCACGTAGAGCGCGAAGTCGGTCAGAAGGCCCGGCAGCCTCACCCCATACTCTGCCTTCAAGCTTGTATTGCGTCTTTTGCCGCTCAAGCTGCATCTGCAGGCGCTCCATGAGACGTTCACGGTCAAGGATGCCCTGCATCTGTTCGGGGCTAGTACCGTTAGATGCGCCCATGGGAGAATTGAGAGCAGCACCCTTGGCGGCGTTGGAAGCGGCAATATCCTGGGCATCACGCAGCATGAGGTACAGTTCTCTGGTCTCAAGCTCGTTCCGCTGGGCTTCTTTTGCGCGCAGTGTTTGTACACTGTCTAGCTCGGCCTTCAAGCCTTCTGCCTGTCGTCGCTGAGCATCGATAAACCTACCCTGCTCGTCGAGTTGCTTCTGAAGCTTGGCGACAAGGCCGTCTGCGCCGAGTGCTAATTGCGAGCGCATTTCGTCACGCTCAGCCATGGCCGCCTCGGCGATCTGACGCGATTCCAGGGCCTCATCTTGAGCTTGCCGGGCCTCTGAATCAGTGTGTAGCTTGTCGAGCAAACTTTGAACAGTAAAGTTGAGACTCTGCTTCAGATCCATGTTGGGAAGTCTCCTGTCCATGGCGACATAGCTAAGCATAGCGTCCACGAGCTGGAACATGCGTAAGCGCTCCTCCCCATCGTTGGCGCGCATTAGAAGCAAATGCTGGAGAGCTGACACAAAGTAGTCGTTGGTCCGACTGCCTTGAAGGCGTTGCTGGATGGCGTCCGCAATCTGTACAGGGTCGGAGAGATCTTTGACCTCGCCTTCAATGCTGTCCTTGATGCTGCTGTTTTCACGCTCAAGCATATCCTCGTAGTCAATGGCCTCGTTGGTGCGGAAACGCTCAATCTGCTTATCCAGGAGCTCATATTGGAAAGCCTCCATCTTGCTCAAGATGCGTTTGATGCCACATGCTGTAAACTGGGCGCGGATGTGTACTCGCAATTGCAAGTCCTTTTCTGGGGCGTCGACCATCATGTTGACCAAGATGATGGACGCAACAGAGTACTCCATCAGCAGGTTCTCCATGCCGACACCACCAGTACGAATATCATCGCTTGCACCAACCATGCTACCCATCTTGCCACGGCCATCGACAGTCGCTTCAACGAGCTGCATCCAGTCGTCAAATCGTCCATTGGCGCCGCTCTGGGCCTTGACCTCGTCAAGAGCTTGGATAACCTTGTAGTGACCCTCGCCATTGTCACCCCATGTACATAGGAACGTGAGAATTTCGGAGACAAGCTTTCGGGTGGTCAAGCGAGGCGAGACAAGCGAGGTACCGAGTGCTAGAAGCACCTTTTGCTGCATCAATGCGTCGTCGGCGCCGAATTTGTTGTTCATGAGTGTCTTGAGACACTTGATGATGTCGTATTCGCGGTCAAGGCCTTTTTCAACCTTGGAACTCTCACTTGCCGGCGCATTGGCAATCTTGCGACTAATCTTGAGGAGCAAAGTGACGAGCGCAACTTGTCCTTGGCACTCGACGAAGCGACGCACCCAGCCGATCTGCTGCGTGCGTAGGTTGACTTCCAAACTGCCCATACCCTTGCCGTCGAGTTTGTCTTCCATAACTCTTCGTACGTACCATTCAGGTGTGCCCTCTTCATCAGAGTAGGTGGTGACATCTGGCTGAGCAAATTGACTGACACGAGCGGTCATGCGACGCTTCTGCTCGTCCTGCCACTCGCCTAATCTGTCCTGGTGTAGCAGAGTCCACTTCTTGTCGGGCTTGTAGGCCATCATTTGTCGTCTGGCCTGATCAGGCAGGTTGTGCCAACCTCGTCTGTGCATGAGGTGTGCAAACATTTGTTCAATGACATTCACGTCGTCGGGCTTTGGGAAGTGAAAGGTATCGTGTGCGCCGGGCCCGGGGAATTTGGTAAGACGATGAGATTCGCGATGAGGTATGCCGTAGGAGCTAGTCGATGATGCGCTCGGTTGGACTGCACAAGTTGATCAGCGTCGGAGAAGAAGGAAGAAAGAGCCAAGGATTAACCTACTGGAGTAGACGCTGGCGTCAGAAACACGATTGTTGGGAGAAAGAAGCGAATCGTATCGGGATGTGTGAGATCCGTTAATAGTGCTAGCCATACTGCCACGAGAAGGACCCCAAAGCTGATACTGCGTGTTCCTACCAGTGCTGGCCATGGTGACGTTGGTTGCGGGGGGGCCCAATCTGGAGGCGTGCGAAGCCGCGTTGGCGACCGAGGGGTCAAATGTTGGATACTGATGAAAGTCATGACCCTTGTTCAGCTGATGAGGCAAAGGTTCTCTACGGACGGGAACTTGGTCAGCTTTGGGGAGGTAGTCGACGGGTATAGGCGAACGGGAGCCGGGAGCGGTGGCATCGTACGGGATCGAGGTGATGGCGCCGGGCATCATGCCCATGCTGGGGTCGGGGGAGGCGAGTCCATCGAAAGAGATTGCCGAGGAGTCGCGGGTGTGCCTAGATGAGCGGGAGCTCAAGGTACTAAGGGCATCGTAGGAATCATTATCGGTGTTGCGCTTATCCTTATTCTTGTTCCGGGAAAAGATGGAGCGACCACCAGACGACTGCCTCGTCTTGTCGGACATGGTGAATTCGTACTAGGTTGTGTATTGCTTTCGTGATCAGAAACGCGTAGAAGCGGTGGGATGCAGGGCTTGGGCCGCTCGCATGATGATGACGGGAGAAGTCGTCTTGAATCGTGGCAGAGGGGAAGATGTCGACTGTAGGAAGCGGTTCAAGCTGTACCGTCCCGTCTTCCTCTTGCAGCTCTGCGAGGTCGTTGCCTGGTGTGCAGTCGTTGGCGCGGGGCCTCTTGTTTGGAGAGTATTACAGCGGAACAGCAGATTCGGGCAAGTCGAAGAGGATAAAATCGTTTATCGTCGAGTCAGGTGGTTTGGATATGGGAAAAAGTCAAGGCGTGGGAATGTGCCTGGCGGCGCGTAGAGGTGGTCAAAAGGGGACGACAAGCCAAGTGGTGTGGTGTGTGTGGCTGGTGCACTTGGTACTGTAACGTTAGTGGGGGATTCGGGAGCTGTTTGTAGGGACGCTTCAGGGGACACCAAGACGGGCGATTCTTTCAGAAAAAGTTGGGCGGTGGGTGGCACAGGACTCGGTGGATGATGAAAACAAGAGAACAGGTTCGAGACGGGAATCGCGTGGGATTAGGGCATAAGCATGAATAGGCATTCCAAGTGAAGATGGTTGTTTGAGACGCAAGGCGTTGAGTGGCTTGCCGTTGCCGCGATTCAACTGGCCCCCGTGTTTTGTACCTGCGTGCTGTCACCTGCCTGCATGCCTACCTAAATACTACAGGTAGCAGTCTAAGGCTTGCGTATAGTACCTGAATAGGTATCCAATCCAACAGAATCGAGTCAAGACGGCTAATTACTATCATCAAACGATCAAATTAATCCTCCTATTTTTAGGCAGCATTCCCCTCCGTCGCCTGCCATGGTATTAACAGCGGCGATAGCAGACGTGTTGGCTAGCGTTACAGTGTCTACAGCCCCTGATTTTCAGGCTGGAACTCCATCTTGTTTGGGTTAGCGGCCTCTGGTGAGCAATTCGGGGCTGGGATTGGGTGGCCGAAAAGAGTTTGGCTTGTAAATTATTGGTGAACGAATGTCTTCTACTCCGTAGTCTAGAGTTATGTTATAATCAGCGAAGTATTGCACTGCCCATGTTGCGGTAACGTTGCCGGGAGCTTTGCTTGTGTAGGTATCCGTACCTCACCTTGTGTCTCCCGCTGCGCATGCTGGTTAAATAATACAACCACCGACGGGCCGTTACAGGCTCAGTAATTATCCTTAGAGTTTTATATCGCACGCCATATCAATCACCGTTCCGCCTGTCGGAAAGCTCCGAAATGGTGCAGTGTCGTGTTACAGGATCTGGCGCACGGTTACCCACGCGGACACGTCAAACATCAAACAGTATTACCCCTCACTTTAAAGTGGCTGTTTTTTTAGTCCTTTGGTTCGTTCCAGTTGCTTTTTTCGTTTCTATGTCGCCTTGTGCACTCGGCAGCTGCGCTCTTGGCGGAGAAATGATTTGATCTTCAGCCAACCCAACCTCTGTCAGTCACCCCGGTATATATAACAATAACAGTGATGTCTGCAAGATGGACGCACAAGTCAGGCAATCCAGCACGAAACAGTTCTGAATAGACAGAAGCCCAGCTACATCAGCTATGTCTCTGCCGCTAATAGGAGTCAAGTTGGCGTTTGGTTGGCAAAGGCGTAGTAACGTCTGAGACCTGGAAGCGGCGGTGCCTGCTGCGGTCGTAGCAAAGCTACACAGATTCCGTTCAGTTTGGAATTATCTTATGGAAGGTTTAGTGTCCTGGCGGCTATTTGTGTTTTTTTAGGAAATTTTTACATGAGGTATGCTCATTTCCAAAAACTTGGTGATGCGCTCAGTCTGACCAGCCACTACTTTCTCACGACAAGCTCAATTATTTGAAGTCAAGGAGTGATTCGCTTCTTTGTTACGATGACCAAGACATTGTACAGGTTCCCGACATGTATTGAGCTCAGTAAGCCATTGTCACGACCGATATTGGCTATGACTTTCGTTGCCATAACTACATTGTCAAAGTAGGTATAAAGTACTTCAAAGCAAACCACCACCAATCCCCATGCAAGGCTGCTCGGAATTACCTGGAACCGTAGTTAGGTATTTAGGTATCCGTATTATTTCTGGCATTCGTTTTGGTGGAGATGGCCTGCCTGAGACCCCGGACGGGGCGCTGTAGCGAATGTTCTAGCGCATGATGCATCTAACTAAGGTAATAAGAGGTAAGGTAAGGTAGTTGGGTAGCACGGTAGGTAGCCTCGGCCGAAACCCGCCAACCACGTTATCTCAGCTTATCCGCGCAAGGGTCTCGCCATCTTCGAACGCCGTCATCACCAACTCAATCCATCGACGAAATTCCGTCCATACTCCATCCCACGGATCCGCTGGAACATCTCTCTCTTCTTCTTTCTTCTTTTTTTCCGCGCATAGCCGCTCCGACTGCCTGCCTGCCTGCCTGCCCAACACCAACCTGCGCTGGGCTGTTTGCGCCGCGCCGCGCCCCCCTGTGTCGCCATCATGGGCGCCGCAATATCCGGCATCAAGGTACGCTTCCCACTCTCCCTCTTTCCGTCTCCCAATCTCGCAGGCCAGCTAACAAGACAAAAAACCACAGGTCCTCATCGTGCCCGCCGCCATCTCCCTCGTGCTCTTCCTCATCGTCACCTTTGCCGTGATCCCGCTCTGGCGACGCTACCGCGCCCGCTACAGCCAGTACCTTCCACTCGACACGCTCGGCTCCGCGTCGTCGTCGCTGCGGGACCGCATCACGGCGAGGCTAGCCGCGCTGACGCTACCGTCGACATGGCGCCATGATAGAGGGCGATTTGCGGCCGCCACGGGGGGTGACGAGGAGGATGACGCGGGCGAGGAGCTGGGTCGTGTTGGGGAGCGCGTCACGGCTGGGTTCGCGGTGACGGGGTTTGGGTCCGAAACGGTTCGGCTGAGCAGAGAGTAAGTGCTGTCACGTTCTAGCTTGAGGCATAGCATGGCGCAACTTCCAAGGTCAGAGGCTAACGTTTGACTGTGTTTAGCTTGGAAGAAGGCTTTATAGACGACACCGACTCAGACGACAGCGATTGAAAAGAGCAAAGCGGGCTTCTCTGCTTGTAAAATAATAGCATTCGCATAGCGTTCATGAATTTCACGACATTATTCTACTGGGTATCGATACCGCTTCAACTCTGTACACTGTTGCCATGCTGATCGCTGATGGTATGCCACCACCACCAACCAAATCCATGCAAACGCCTCTCCATTGGCATTGAACAATCTCCTAAACGCCAAGCGTCAAGTGTCATGCGCTCTTTTGTTCAGTATTAACCATGGGTTTGTGCCACTTGCCAAGGACTCGGGATCCGGGAGTGGCTCGTCGGTCCGGACCTTCGTAGACACTATCTCCTCCATCTCGACCTGCCCATCGTTGGCGTCCGTCTGCATGCCAAGTTTCGCCGAGCCTGCAAAGAAGCTATTCACCTCTTCCACGCTGAACAGCATGCCGCCTCTCTTACTCCACTCGGGTGTTTCTTCTTGTTTTTCTGCCTCCTCTACTTCAACCACGGGCTTCACCTCGACTGACTTGCCCTTGTCGTCCGGCGGCCGTTGCACCGGGTGGCATCGCAGTGGATTCTCGTGCAAGAAGCCGTCCTTGACAGTATTGGTTCTTACGTCGACGCTCTGCGCTACAAGCGTGATGTCGTCCGTGATGGCGGTCGAATGGGTCATCCCGGATGCCGCAGACTGGCGGACCGGCCCTCGTCTCGGCGGTGGCATCGTCTCGGCGGTGGCATGCCGGCGCCCGAGCCATGGGATTGGCGGGGCACGCACGAACAGGTATTGCCCATGGTTGCTGCTTGATTGTGCCGGTGTCTGCTGTCCACTCAAGCTGGATCAAAACAATCAGCCTGTCGAAGACGAGGGAAGACTTGTAGTCAAAAGATTCATGCAGGTGTCAGGAGAAGAATTTTCCCTACCTATACCTCTTCTAGACCTATGCCTCAACGTCAATTCATATACTTGAGTGGTGACTCGGCGGCGTCGCCAAGCTTTGCCTGGCGCGGAACCAACGACGTAGTGGCCAACAAGCGGGCGACTGAAATGGAATATTTTGCCCGTGAGTAGTGCTAATAGACTCGGGCTTGTGAACGATAATGGCCCCTTATTACTGCAAAGAAACTGAATGCTTATTGTCTGTATCTGAGATAGGCTACATCGAGAAGGAAGCAAGACGGATGCTTCGAACTTTGGGCTTGCTTCCTGGTGGTTTGCGCCTACTCTGCGCTCGAGCTGGCCGTCGTTTTCGCAGCTGCAATGCCATCCTGCTCCGCGCATGGCTCTCTCGGTATCTTTTTCTGCGGGTAAAATTCTAAGCTTAGTTCCCCATGGTTGAAGGGTCCCGGTAGTAAAAAATGGCGTCTGCACCGTTGCTAGGTGAGCAGGGCCAGCCTACCGACAAGCCCTAATGTTTTACTTTTGACAGTCTCAATTGACAATTATTTTTCTTCCTGTCATGAACTTGGAGAATTCTCGCCTTTTACCCTTTTCCCCTCCGCTTGACTCTTCAACAACCTCAACCTGACGTGTACCTCCACGACCACAAAGTACGCAAGCGTCATCTCTACAATCATCATTCCCCTTTTGCTGACCCAGCTCCAGGCTCGCCGGCTCTATAACCGTCACAATGAATTTGGCCGCGCTCTTTGTTCTCCTTGCCGACGTCATCGCCGTCAACAAGGTCGCCGCCGGTGACCTCGGGTTGCCGCTGGAAAACAAGAACCACACCTGCCACGGTCCCAAGGACTGCGATATCAAGTGCGAGAACGGCACATATTATCGTCACCGGAACCCGGGCACGGACATTGAAACGCTTCGCTGCAAGGGTGCCAATCTCGACTACACCTACTGGCAAGGCCAATGTCGCCGGGAGCTAGGCGGCCAGGGCGTCTTGGTTGCTCGCAATGAAAAGGCCTGCAGACTCGTCGGCGGCCTCTTGTGCGCCCCCAGGATCAGGAATCAGGTCAAAAAAAGCACCTGGTACCGCTGTATCTTTGATCCCGTCGACTTCGAGGAGTGGAGGATGTACTGCCTGGAGGACGGTTACCACGCCGCGACCGCCATAATGCTCAAGGACGTTCCCTTCACCTGCCACCCGGACTACCTCCCTTGATATTTCCCTTGATCAATAATCGATCCAGCATAATCATGTTGTTTATTAGACGTTTGAGTTTTGTGATTTCCTTGGGATAGACTTCAAATGCTTTTGTTTTCTTCATCTTACTCGGGAGCTGGTCAAAACCGCTTGTTGAATCATTTTGGGCGAGTGTTGGTCGTAATCGATTCTTGGCCGCACTTCGTAATAGTCTTTTTTGCTAGTCTCAGCTAGGCCCGTATTTAGCTGCGTACTATTTTCATGCTACATTTTGGAATCAATCTTGGTGGAAGTCACAGTGGACGCCACGGATGGAACAGCCTGGCATTCGTGGATACATCTGTACTCGCGGCGCTCTCAATTTTTATCTTGGCTTCCGTTGTGCGCTTCAGCCACAAAGAAAATACCGGACTATAGCATCCCACTTGATTCCTCGATCCGAAATAGAAACCGTCCTATTATCGAAAAATGTTACTGACAAAGTCGCTCATATACGGCTTTGAGACGTCGGTCACTCAACCAAGACATCTCGAAACCGTTCCGGGGCGGCATGGTGTGCACGCAGGCGCATGAGAGACCTCCTCACATACAACCCAAAAATGTGGCCAGGTCAATGGCCCAATCAGTGTCAGGGAAGGCCATGCGTGGGATAAGGGCGTGTGAAGCGACGGACCATCCGGATATGAAGAGTAAGTGACTGCCCAGGCAAAGGGCCTATGACGACGAGCTATATCGCCCGAAGAACTGCGCCCGCGGGTGACATACTAGACACTCGTCATAAAGAGGAAATTGTGTTGCCTTACTGCTTGTGGGACGAGTGTCAAAGTAATGAATGTCCAAGTACACTAAACTAAACTGGCTTGTAAATTGTCATGACTGCTCACGATGCGCTGCCCCGCCAAATTCCATTTACGCGGTGCGCTGCTAGTGCACAAACTACGCGTTTCCTCATGCAACACCATGTCCATGGTTTCATCAATTCGCCATGCGCTTTCGAACAGAATTAAAGAATATACGGACCTTTTCAAGTACGCAAACAAACTCCCTGATAGACAAACGAGCTGTACTGATTTTGCCCCCCCTTCCGTAGAGCTCACAGCGGCGCTCTCCTCGCTCGAGAAAATCGCCTGGGTGCGTCTTAGTGATGAGACGGCACGCTTCACGGTGATTCCCGACATGGGATCCCAGGTTTGGGCGTACGTATCCCAAGAACGCCATTCTCACGCGACTTGTCGCTGAGGGGACATTTTTCGACTGCGACCCCCCCCCTTCACTGCTCCAGAGCCCGTAGGGCAAACCAGCTAACGCATCTCCTCCAGCTCCCTGTCCATGGACTTTATCTTTGAAAACTACCAGATCCAGTCCGCCGAAGCCTCCAACACCATCAACCTCGAGCTCCCGCTGCAGCCCTTGCAGCGCGCGCTCAAGTCGGCCCTCAACAGCATCTCCGCCTCGCTCCGCCTCACCAAAAAGGACGGGCTGCCCGTTCTCTCCCTCACCATCACCACCACCACCACCGCAAGCGGCACAAACGCAAACGCAAACGCACACGCGGCCGCGGCCGCCGCCGCCGCCGCCGCGGGCCAGCAAGCACGCGCCGCCACCACTGACAATGATGACCCGTTTGCCGACGAGGACCATCTCTTCCACGCCGAGCACCTGGAGACGTCGCTGCGGCGGGAGCACGAAAAGATCATCACGCAGGACATTCCCGTGCGGGTGCTGCACCCCGAGACCGTCGAAACCATTATGCAGCCCAAGGTGCGCGAGCCTGACGTCCACATCCAGCTGCCGCCGCTCCTGCAGCTCAAGGCCATCTCGGACCGCTTCACCAAGCTCGCGCAGGCCGCCGCCACTGGCAGCACCGGCACTGGCGCCGCCGCGTCGGCCTCATCGTCGTCGTCGGCGAAAGCGCCCAGGCTCGAGCTCAGCGCCAACATGCACGGCAGCCTGCGGCTGCGCATCGCCACCGAGACGACGGACATTGCGAGCGTCTGGTCCGGCCTTGAGAACCCGGAGCTGGACCCCACGCAGCTCGATCGCCCGCTGGCCGAGCATCCGAGCACACGCTTCCGCGAGGGCGGGCCGGATCGCTGGGCGACGGTGCGCGTCGACGGCAAGGACTGGAGCCGCGTGCTGAGCGTGGGCAGGCTCGAGGGCCGCGTGATTGCGTGCTTTGCCGATGATCACGCGCTGATTCTTTACGTCTACGTGCCACAGTACGACGACGCGTCCGCGGACGATTCTGTAGTCACGGTATGTTGGCACAACTGCAATGCCCGATTTTTCTCTCTCGATTTGAACTAACAGGGACAATGTAGTATTATGTCCAGTCATACAGCGCATAGGAGACATTACAAACGAGAAATACCAAACATAATGAAGAACATGATATACAGTAGATCTCTTGTTCTGCAAGAAACATCTATGATACAACGGACTCTATAATACAATAGTAAGAAAAAACAAGAGAAAGAGGCCACGGCAAGTTTGCTCCCCCAGCATGCCAAACGCCGTACAAAATGCAGCGAGTCCAGCAATGCAGACAGTGATTATATATGCCCCATTTGCGACTCATGAAGTGCTACAGGATGGATATTAGTATAGTATAAATTCATGTGACTCCGTCGTTCCTCCTTTCATTCCGTCATGCCTTCATCCCATTCACACTCCTGGTTCTTTTTCCTCGCTCATTTGGCCATGACATCCACATACCGGCCAGCCTTGCGAGGTTTCTTGCCAGATGCCTTTCGAGGTCCAGCGGCGCCGAGCAGATCATCAATGCTGCTGGCATTGCTGATGCTCGTGGGCGGGCGGCTCGGAGGTCCGCTTGGTGGCGTGGGAGCGCCGCCTGCACTGGCATTGGAATCGGTACGCATCATAGGAGGGGGTGTGCTAATGCCGAGGCCGCTGGGAGGCATCGTACCGGCCTTGAGATTGGACGTTGATGCTGACCGTGCCATGGCCGCCATAGGCGGGCCCATAGCGCTCGGAGGGGGAGTGCCGCTGACGGAGCGAGGAGCGCTACCTCTGGGCGGAGGCGGCGCTGCCTTCACAGCCTCTGTCTGCTCAGCACCAGCCTTCTTGTTGATCCACCGCTTCAGGTCAGGATCGTACACAAAGCTGTTGGATTCGCCCAGCTTGGCCTTGATAGCCTTCTGAGGCTGGGCTTCGCCACTCCCGAGTTCCGCCTTTTTGGACGCGCCAAACCAGCCCCCGAAGCCCCAACCGCCAGACTTCTTTGCGGCGGCTGCCTCTGCGGCTCGTTTAGCTTCTTCCTCGGCAACTTTCTTAAACATCTCTTCGTTTTCACGGTCCAGATCCGTTTTGCTCTTATTATCTGCAACCTGCGGCGCAGGCACCTCGTCATCGTCCATGAAACTCTTCTTCTTCGGCTTGAGAGCGTCATCATCTGCATCATTGCTCATGTCAGGCTGATACGAGGGAGGCTCATAGCCATAAGACTGAGTCGAAGGCGGTTCATATCCCTGTAACTGAGTAGACGGAGGTTCATAACCTTGCGACTGGGCTGATGGCGACTCATAGCTTTGAAACTGCGTAGAAGGTGGCTCGTATCCGTAGGGCTGCATCGATGGCGGCTCAAACCCGTAGCTTTTTGTCGATACCGGCTGGTAGCCACTTTCAACAGCACCATCTGCCTTGGGGACATCAGCCTCAACAGGCTTATTTGGTTCATACCCCCCAGCAGGCTGGTATCCTTGGTAGCCATGGTTGGTATTCGGGTTCGGCTCTGCCGTGATGCTAGGAGACGGCTGTAGACCGTAGGGCTGAGCCGCAGCACTTGATACCTGTGGCTGATACGTCGACGCTCCGAACTGGCCATGATTAGGCTGGTGCGATAGCTCAGGCGCGCTCTGGTTGAACCCAGGGTATCCAGAATTTCCGGTATTGGTGTCGAGGAAGGCAGGTTCGTACGGACTAGGAGTGTATTCATTCGACGTACGACCACTCGCCTGCTGCTGCACTGGAGCTGGCTGCTGTGCGACAAACTCATATGGGTTCTGAGTTGTGGTGGCAGCGGGGGTCATAGCTGGCGCATACCGGGAGGTGGCTGCGGTCGGTTGTGGAGGCAGCGCTGATACACCGTAGCTAGGCGAAGCTCCATAGGTCTCAAGGTTGGAGACGGACGGTGAGCGACTAATGTTTGGAGTAGAGGCGATACGGGCAAACGGGCCATGTTCGCCATCGGCACCGGCTTTTCCGTTGCCCTCCTCATCACCAGAGACGAACTTGTTGAACCGGTTCCACATGCTATCAGAGACCTTGTTCATGCTCGGCTTGGACATCCAGCTCGAACCGTCGTCCTTGGGAGCCTGTTTCAAACGTCTCATAAAATCGTCGACTGAAGCTTCCAGGAGAGGGTGGTGGTACGGTGACCGACGTGTTTGGGCACTCATGGAAGTGAAAATCGCATCACAATACTGCAAGGCTTTGTCACGGTATCCATGTTCAGCAAGCACTGTTGCATGTTGGAGCTTGTAGCCTGCCAAATGAGGGGCGCCAGCTGCAAGATTTGCAGTCCCGGACAGTGTCAACCCATATTCGTAAACTTCACTCAACTGCAACGCCTCGGTTTCCTTGGCAAACTGATCCGGCTGCTTGTGATGATCTGCACCGACTAGCACGAAGTCGGTGTTGGGGTCGTCAACGCCACCAAAAACAGACATAGTTCTGCTGAAGATGAAGCAGATCTGAGCCGCCTCAGCCCTACCATAGCCTGAGAGAAGTTTTCCGAGAGCGTTTAAGCCACGAATGTCGTTTTCGCTTCTGTTACTGAGCACCAAAGAGACAGTTTCTTTCCATTTTTCTAAGCCGCTCAGCACATCTTGAGTAGGCCCCTGGCCTGAATCGGTAGACATCAGCTGCAGACCAGCACGTGCGTGAACAGGTACCAACTCGTCGACGCAATCTTCGAAGTTCCCAGAGAGTACCTTGTAAAAAGCGCCAAGAGACTGGTTGCTGTGGCCTGGATAGTTGACCTCCTTTCGCACAAATTCTTGTGCCACCCGGCTATAGAGCTCGGACGAAGTCGTGTGAGCAATTATCATTGCATGGCCCCACAGGCGCTTGTCGACAGCTGCCCAGACAGCGGATTCACGATCACCATGAAGTAGACTTTCTTTGATACTCTCCATGGAAGCGGGGTCGACATCGTCCGCCTTCATTCCTGTAGAGGGTGCCGTGTGGCCGAACCTCGGGCCACTGGGCAAGGAGGCGTCTGCAGCTTCTTGTGGCGACAGGACTTCTCGGACTGCATTTTCAACTGCGGGAGAGCCCTCCAAGTGCCCATCATGTTCGATGAAGACGCGAAGAATCTTCCACAGAAGCAGTCGCTCGATGGATCTCTTTGCTTCCAATGATAGCTGAGGGTTAGGAGATAGATCAGGCAGTTCTCTTTCCAACGCGGTGATTCCAGAAGACAGCCAGGCGAGGGCGTCCTTCTTTTTCGACTTGCCTCGTAGAGGGCCTGGAAACTTGGCCAGTTGCTCAGGTAAGGGCTCGATATCCTTCATACTTTTGACCTTCACCTCTCCGGGAGTTCTTAGCATTGTTGGTGCTGACTGATTCATGGTGTAGCGCGGTGTACTCTTTGGAAATGAAGTCACCATGGCACCACCAACACCCCAGGAAATAATGGGTACACCTTGCCAACGTTGCAGCGGATCGTTTTCACGGCCGTCCGTAGGGGAAACCATAGTTAGCGACGCGCCACGAGTGCGGACAGGCATCGCGTGTGTCTGCTGCGCAGCCTGACCAAAAGTCGGGGCCACGTTAGTGTGAGCAGAGGCCGGTCGCGCATGTTGGTGAGTGATTCGAGTGGCTCCGGGGGATTGCGTCTGAGATCGAACAGGAGGGGCAAAGTTAGGCTGGTGCAGTGCAGCTTGGGGCAGATAATTGCTAGTTTGTCGTTTCTGCGGCGATGAAAGCTGGTTCGAGGGCACGACTGGGGTTTGCTGGGGGGCAGGGCTGTATCGGGCGGTGGCAGTAGGGGCTTGCTTTGGTGCCCCAAGCTGATTTCTAGCCGGAGTTTCTTCCTCCTCATCTACCTCGCGGGTAGGCGGAAGCGATGACACACGATTCAGCCTTGGCTCATGGTTATAGCTGGCACGTCGGTCCAAGTGACCAGCATCGATGCCAGCGCCCGTCTTGTCATGATGAACCTCGAACTGAGCCAACGGGCTTGAGGTTCTGGGTAGGTGTGGAAGATAGGTTTGCGACGCGGAGGCATTTGTAGTCTGAGGCGGCGAACTATTTTGACGTGGTAGCGGAGGTGCCGGGGAGAAGCGGTTCGGTGCTGCAGGCGGAGGAGCTGAGCTTCCCTTCTGATGCTGAGTGGGAGCTGGTGAGTATCTGGTAGCATTGCTTGCGGGAGCTGATGGCGGTGCAGACCCTGCTTGCAATGCAGCATACGGATTCACCTTTGGGGGGGCAACCAGATCGGGCATAGAATTCTCGGGAGCAGCAGGACGCTCCATCGGCGGAGGCTGATACTGCTGGTGCATGGCAGGTGGCGGAGGTGCAGTGGAAGTAGGCAGATTTGGGCTGCCATACTGCTTGCTAGGCGAGGAAGAACGGAGACTTTGGCGCGAACCAGGACGGGGCTTCGCAACCACAGGTAGATCCTCGAAGAAGCTCTCCTGTCGGCTTGCAGACCGAGCAGGTGGTGCCTGTGAGGCAGCTCCTGATGCCGGCGGAGAGGCAGACGCGACCGGCCCTGGAGGCAGCGCGTACGCATTCGCTGTCCGCGGCGGCGCAGACATGGATGAAGGGGCTGTTTCTTGGGCGGGATTCGGCAAGCTGGGTCGTTTTCTGGGTTTGATATTCATACTGACCAGATCCGTTGGCAGGTCATATGGTGAAGCGTATCCGCCTTTGGCTTTGTCCGCAAAGCTCTCAGCTTTTGGAGTGTCGGTGTGTCGCGGCGCGGCCGGGGCATAGCCAAAGGCGCTACCATATGGTGTTTGCTGTGGAGGCTGCGCGGCGTATCCATACGAAGATGTCGGCGCAGAAACTGGTTGAGGTCGTGTCTCAGCCTGAGTTGGCATATATGGGTTGGTTGTGGGCGCCTCGGTTGCGATGGCAGCCGGTGCGTCGTCTTCATCATCTAGCAAAAGACCTTCATCATCGCTTCCCAGAAAACCAGCCGTATCAATTGTTTCATCTTCGTTGCCGGTATCGTCTAGGAGAAAGTCATCGTCATCGTCTCCGGTCCCAAAAGCTTCCTGCCACTTTGCAGAAAGATCAGCCGGGGGCTCAGCCGCATCTAGCTGGTTCTCGTCATTGGCCGCTGCCCCGAAAGCATCTGCAAGAGCCTGGGCGTGACGGTCCTCCTCAGAGAGATCCTCAGAGTGCTCTTCCAGTGTGTCGAATGCGGTCTGTTGCGCAGATGATTCTCTGCTGAAGGTGTTTTCGATGACTTGCATAGTAGACTTGCGCTGAATTGGCTGCATGAAATCAGTAGAGTCTTCTTCCCTGCGAACAGTAGAGAAGAAGTCATCTCCAGCATCGTCTTCCGCAAAGGAGTCAAAGGGGGTGGTTTTGGATGGCTTGGCATCTTCGACTTCCTCAGCAGCCGGAATTAACGGTAGCCCTTCCTCGAAACGAGACTGTGACGCCTCTGTAGCAGCATCCCCTATGTCACCACCAATGGTCTGGAAAGTCTCGTGCGTATTGTCTGCGGGACCGTCATTCTCCCAAAACATTTTTGATTCCTCCGAGTCATCGTGGGCGGAGGAGCTCTTCTCGACCTCTTCAACAACGTCGAGAGCTTGAGAGGAAGGTAGCGGCTGTGAAGGGAAAACGGTTTCGGCAGATTGCGCGGGCGGAACGGGGGGGAAGGAATTCGTTCGATCGGTTGGAGGCATGAACTTGAATTGGTCGGTATTAGATCGGGACAGTGTCCAGTCACTCTCGTCGTCATCGTTGAAGCTGATTTCGTGGGAGACAGTTCGAGCGAAAGACATGGAACTCGAATGTTGAGAGAGGGATTTGCGCAATGGCTGCGTCTCTTGTAATTCCGCATCCGGCTGTTTAGCTGCCTCAGTTTCAGGCCGAATATGCGACTGTGGCTCAGCCTCCTGTGTTTGGAGCTCTGTTGATTCCGGTGCTGCTTGAATTTCAGCTGCCGGCTGCTGCTGCGCAATGGGCTCGATTTCCTCGGCATTGGCAGGTCCGATGTCATCAGTTATAGGAGGCGGCGCAGCTTCAGTATGCAGTTGTTCTTGAGCTGGCTTCTCGGCGAACCAAGAATCAGCGTCTTCGTGTTCGACCTCATTCGTATTGAACGGATCAATTGCCGCGGAGTTCGCCTCGCGAGCATCTTGGGGGGGCTCTTGTGATTTTTGCGCGTCTTCGGGAGCAAGGGGGGTGTTTTCCAAGGTGTACTGTTTCGGAGCGGCCTGTGGCGCGTCAAGGTCCAACGACTGCGTGGCCGGTTCCTCTGACATCAGCCAGGCATCACCGACGGCTTCTTCCCCGTCATCAGCCATCCAGGCATTGTCTACATCATGGCTTTGTGTCGCGTCCGGCATCGTGGGTCTCGTAGCCAGGTCATGGCCATCAACATCTGGGGTAGCATCAGCTTTAGGTAGCGCGGCCGACTGTTGCAGGCTGTTAGGCATCTTGGCTGGATGCCAGGATGACTTGGAGGCTTCTTCAGCCATCTCGCTCGCTGCTCGGGTACGAAATTCTGGCGCAGCGTCAATCTTGGGCAGCGCGACCCTCTGTTCCAGACTGTTGGGCATCTTGGCCGGATGCCAGGATGAGTTCGAGGCTTCCTCAGCCATCTCGCTCGCTATTTGGATACGAGAAAAGCCCTCAAAAATGCATGGGGTATACTAGAGGCTGGCCGTCAGCACGTCGGTTCGAATAGCGAGGGTTGCACTGGAGTAGCAGGGGTCGCCACTGGAGAGTCGCGAACCCATGAAAACACACAGTGGCCAAGCGCAGGCGGGAGAGGGTTCGTACTCGAATGAATAAATCAAGATTAAATCAGGCAAAGAAAGCGACTCCACGACACGATGCAGAACAAAAGGTCAGGGAATGTCGCTGGCGTGAATGGCGCAGGATGACGGATGCAAGTTGGCAAGATGGAGAAAGGAGAACTGGCTTGTACCCAGCCAGAGCTGTATGTGTTTGCCCGAGCCGCAGAAATAGAACAGCTGGCGGGTTCTGGCACGGCGCGGAAGCGGAGCGGAACCACAATTATGACTACAGGCCCGTGTCACCCTATACTTGATAGTCGAACCGTCAATTTACATATTGAGGTTTTCCTTTGTCTCTCACAACGATTCAAGTAAAAAGATTGTTTTTTTTTTTAAGGGAGAAATTTATTTATTAGAAAAGGTATACAAAGGTACAACCAGCCATCCCGTCTCGGTTGTCAAGCGGCATGGCTGAAATTAGCTGCATTCCGACGCCTCCACCTCACGGCTATCCATACTTGCTGTTACACCGTCCCTCACTTGAATGATACCAGGACCCGCGAGTGTGGAATTAGTGACATCATCTGCCGACTCGAAGACATTTCCAGTAGTCAAAGCAGCATGACTGAAGCCGTTCATGACATTCTCGGAAACCGAAAAGTCTGCACCAAAGCTAATCATGCCACTCTCCCATTTGACGTTGCTGATTTCCAGAGAAATGGGCTTTTGCTGGCCGGTAGTATACGTGAGGAAGAGATCTTTCCCATCGCCTCCGACGTACTTCTTTGCCTGCTCAGATTTGCCGAGGTCTGCCGAAAATGAAAGTTTCTGGTCCTTTGCCTCCAGCGCGGCCACTGCCTGACCGTTTACCATCATTGGCGGGAAGATGGGCAGGTCAATGTTGGAGAGGGGGTATGGGCACGATCCCGGGACGATGAACATTTGCAAGGCCGAAAAGGCAAAGGCGGCCGGCACCGCGGTTAGAAATGGCGACTCTGAAGGCACTTCCTTCAACACGGTGCGATAGTAGCCATTCTGCTCGCCTTCCTGACCAATGACGGACGATATAAGCTGGATCGGGACGGGAACATTTTCTTTGGCGAACAAGACATTCGCGCCCTGCAGCGCACCGAGCACAACGGCAGTGAATGTCTCGGCAATGTCGACAGCTTGAGTCAAGTTGGTCGTCGGAAACATGTACTTGCAAGCCGACGGAACAAAGGAGGCATTGGCTGCCATAAGAGCAGTCTGGGCTGCGAGTGCGTGCAATTCCTCTTGCTACATTCCAGATGAATCAGTAATTGTTTATGAAGTGTATGAAATGTGGCCACGAACAGCTCGCACAGTGGAAAAGATCTTGATCAATTCCTCCTTGTTGTCGGCTTCATAGCCTTGCACACCGTTTGTAATATTTTGAAGAAGGGAGTCAAAGTAGGCCGTCTCGAACAACTCATTAAAGGCAATAAGCTGGAAAGCGGTTGTGCTCCCGGGGCCAAGCTTTTTGGGCAAAGCCACATTAGGTAGTTTGCCACCAGCTTGCTTGGCTAGGGTGACCTGTTGGTCCTTGTTTGGCATAGGGAAGCCATCGTTGTTGGGTACGGCCGCGCCGGTGACAAGACCCAAGAGACCGAGAAGGCTTATAGATTTGGTCGCGAACATGATGAGCAGAGGTCGAGCTAAAGCAATGATAATAAAGTACAGTTCGATTCGTTATGTCAGACGCACTGCTGCATTTATATACTCGGACGTGGCCACTAGTAACTAGAGTACACTTGAGATTATGACACCTACACAACGAAGCTTCCCTCGCTGCTAGCTCTTCCAACATACCAAATTTGGTAGAGCTGGTTAAAATATCTCACAAAGTCAATAATGATACCGACATGCTTATGATGTGCTCGTGATTGGACAATGGTTGGTCTTTCGCTGATCAAGGTTGGGCCGTCATAGACAGGGCTAGCGCCGGCTTGCGATGCACTACGCGGGAAACGGCACGTTGACAAATGATCCGGGGCACTTTATCCGATCAGGAATCAGCATTTTGTTTCTTTTCGCCATCCAACTAGCTTCAGTCTTTTGGAGATGTGGAGATGTAGTCATTCAAGCCCGTTCGGAAGACCGCAGTGCCGGGACGCTGTGGCGACGAACGACCGACATCTGGAGAAGAGACAGGCTTGATTTGGAATTAATCAGAACGAACAGAACATCGAGATTTCGCAAAATCAGATTCAGATTGGAAGAATTGGGAGTGCGCTCGCATCATAGAGTCTGCTCGGGCACCATCGCCGATTGACTCACTTATCGAGCTCTCGAAAGCACTGTGCATGGTAGAAGGCTTCCGTAGTACATCGACAGGACTTGCTTTGAGAACTGCTGGTCCTTGTAGTCTGAGAACTATGTCGCTCGCGTTACAGACTCACACTCAACTACTGCAGAGGCAAGAGCGCCGATGCTGACATATCACGGTATTCTCTGCCTTGTGAGTATAGCTGGTGCTGCCGCCTATCAAGAATCAACGTCTCCTTCCGTCTCCCTCTGTTGTGTGTAAAGTGGTGTTTGGGAAGGGTTCAGTTTCTTTTCTAGTCACTGTCTTCTGATTTTTCTTTTTTGACTTTTGGACGTGATCGTTCAATGAGGCTGTCCGGGCACCAATAAGTGGGAGCGCTTTAGAGAAGCTATTGCGACATCAGCCTTGCCGCCGAATTTTATGTACACTGCACCTAGAGGCCGTTCCTCCTCGAAAAAGATGACAGTATTGGCTGGGCTCATCAGATGACTAACAGCACTTCTTGGAACATCTTATTGTAGCGATTGTATGATGTTTGTGGCAAACTTTGCGCTGTGCAGGTTCCTCATGAGCAATATTCGACAACGTGGGGAGTGGCGCTTGACATGTGCAGAGCCATGACACTATGAACATCATTTATACCTGGGCTCCAAAATACTTTTGGGCTGCTTCATCGATGGGTTAGCTGAGTTTGAGCAAGACGCGTGCCGTCCTCGCAGCCAGCGGGCTAGCCTTGACAGGATCTAAACCTCCGAAACAGCGCTGCCAAACATTGCATTGTCGTTGACTTTGGCATTGTCAAGCTTGTTGATCAGAAATTGTGCAAAAGCCGATTGTCACCTACAGGCACCCCTTAGCGGGCACCCACTTCCACAATACAAGATCCTTAACCTCTGCCTGACACCGATGCTTGACTGTGCGGTGCTAACAAAGCGGGAGAGTCAAGGATTGTCCACCGAGGAATGTTGAGGAAAGAAATATCTCAGTCGAGAGCAACTGACTTGACCAGTTTTGGTGAAAGGAGTGTAAGCCTCAAGTACGAAGCTTTTTGTGGCCACCAACGTGGAATTCCCACTGTGAGCACTAAAAAGTACCTAGTAATTTTAAAGGAGGAATTTCCGCGCCCCAGTCCGTGCCACACACCTGCCACCGTTATGGACGCTGCGCCACCCGTGCCTGCACCATTGTTAATTTATTACGATCCGTTCTAAACTTACATATGGGTCGAGCCCCCCTTGAGGCTGACGTAGCTTTTTGGCGGTTGTTGACAAGGGCCACGAAACGTGAAACTCAGCAGCCTAGAAAGGTGGCTTTGACTGTCATTCAGCCATTTACATGCCATTCTGGATCGCCTCGCACTTTCAACAATTCGTATGCCAAAGTTTGTTTCTCATTTTCAGCGACGAACAAATCACCTGGTCTATGATGCACCTAAAAGACTGCTGCTGGGGCCGTGACTTGAACTACACCGTGGCCGCACCCGAGCTAGCCATGATCAGCCAGCTGCACAGCGCCATCCATCACTGATCTAGCCACGACACACCTCCCGGCCCAGACCCCCGGCGGGATGACTTCTTCACCTTCATATCGTCATACCGAGCCGCCCGACTCTCCTACGCACGACTCCGACTCCGACCTCGACCTCGACCTCCAGGAGCTTGATCCCATCTCCACCGCGCCCACCCGAGGCTCCAAGCCCGAGCTGACCGACACGTCGCAAAAGTCCTCGAGGATAGCCCTCCGCAACTTGCGTATGGGTGGGCTGCGCAGAGCGGGCAAGCGACATCGCACCTATGGGGAGCTTGGTCACGACCGCGATGCCGTCGACGAGGATGACGACTCACAGCGCCTTCTGGGCGATCGAGACGACGCTCAAGGGAGCGAGGATGGCGCGCCTCTTCTCGGCGGGCGGTCCAGGGACAATCAAGGGCGCAGAATGTCGCTTAGCTCTGTCCTGAGAGTGCCTAGCTTTATGTCGGGGACCAAAAAAGGACCCGACGACGAAGAGCTCCCGGAGGAAGATGACCCCTCGTCATCGCGAATCGTCCCAGTCGGATCTGTACAACCGGTGCGATATCCCACGAATATGGTCTCCAATGCCAAGTATACGCCTTGGTCGTTTCTTCCCGTCACACTTTACAACGAATTCTCCTTCTTCTTCAACATGTATTTTCTCCTCGTCGCCCTGTCGCAAATTATCCCTGCTCTGCGAATCGGCTATCTTACTACTTACATCGCGCCGCTAGCGTTTGTGCTGTGCATCACTATGGGAAAGGAAGCTTGGGACGATATTGACCGACGCCGCCGAGACAATGAAGCCAACTCGGAGCAATACACGGTCCTCAGATTTACGGACCCTACGTTGGAATCAAGTTCGCGACCGAAAAAGCTCCTCAAGTCCGAAACGATGAAGCGCGGTTCTAAAAAAGGCCGAGCGGAAAGAATGGAGAGAGCTGGGTTGTCGGATATACAAGAAGACCCCGAGTCCGAGCCCGCAAAACCTTCCTCGACAATAGTGGAAGTCAGCCGAAAGTCCAAGGATCTTGCTGTCGGTGATGTTCTTCGTCTGACCAAGGGGCAGCGTGTGCCGGCAGACGTTGCCATTCTTCAGTGCCTAAATAGCGAGACTTTGGACAAGAGTGAATTAGATGAGGAGTCCGAGTCGGCCGATTTGGTTGCGTTGAATGATGAACTCGAGTCAGTTTCCAAGGGCAAGCAGCCCGCAACCGAGAGACGGAACTCGGCAGCAACAAAGGTCACTGTTGGCGAAACGTTTATCAGAACAGATCAGTTGGACGGTGAGACGGATTGGAAGCTCCGACTTGCATCACCGCTTACCCAGAATATTGCTCCCGAGGAGCTTGTCCGCTTGCGAGTCAATGCCGGAAAGCCGGATAAAAAAGTCAACGAGTTTATCGGAACTGTTGAATTGCTTCCGTCTCGCGAAGAGGCTACTCAGCAGCAGGCTACCCTCAGCCAAGAAGAAGGATCTGCCACGACTGCTGCATTGTCCATCGACAACACAGCGTGGGCGAACACAGTCATTGCTTCACAAGGAAGCACTCTGGCAGTAATCATGTACACCGGGCCCCATACCCGATCCGCTCTATCTACATCGCCATCTCGTTCCAAGACTGGTCTTCTCGAATACGAAATCAACTCGCTCACCAAGATCCTTTGCGCGCTAACTCTTGCACTCTCCATCGTGCTTGTGGCATTTGAGGGCTTTGAAAACAGACCAGGGAAGCCATGGTATATCCAAATCATGCGGTTTCTGGTTCTCTTTTCTACTATTGTGCCTATTAGCTTGCGTGTCAATCTCGACATGGGAAAAACTGCTTACGGCCGCTTCATCCAAAGAGATCCTGGCATTCCAGGTGCAGTCGTCCGTACCAGTACCATTCCAGAGGACCTCGGCCGCATCGAGTATCTTTTGAGTGATAAGACAGGGACTTTGACGCAAAATGATATGGAAATGAAAAAGATTCACATTGGAACAGTTTCTTACGCCAACGAAGCAATGGACGAAGTGAGCTCCTATGTTCGCCAAGGTTTCTATATTCAGCCGACAACAGACCCTGCGACACAAAGCATGCTGATTACTCCATCATCTACGTATGTGAACACGGTCGCTGTTGGCGCTACTCGAACAAGAAGAGAGATTGGTACCAGAGTCCGTGATGTTGTCTTGGCTTTGGCACTTTGTCACAATGTGACACCTACTACTGACGAGGAAGATGGTAAGGAAGTCACGTCATACCAGGCATCCTCTCCTGACGAGATTGCAATTGTCAAATGGGCCGAAGCGGTTGGACTGAAGCTTGCTTCTCGCGACCGAAAGAGTATGACGCTTGCTGCTACCACAACTGGGCGGCCAGTCGTTCGTGTCAGCATCCTTGATGTGTTTCCGTTTACCTCGGAAGGAAAGCGAATGGGTATCATTGTTCATTTCCAAGATGACCTCAAGAAGCCAAACCGCGATCTCAGCACTGGTGATATTTGGTTCTACCAAAAGGGTGCAGACACTGTCATGAGTTCCATCGTGGTTGCAAACGATTGGCTTGATGAGGAGACGGCCAACATGGCTAGAGAGGGTCTGCGAACTCTGGTTGTTGGCAGGAAGAGGCTTTCCTATCAGCAATATCAGGAATTCTCTTCCAGATATCACGAGGCGTCACTAGCGATTCAAAATCGCGATGCTGGCATGCAATCGGTCGTTGCGCAATACCTGGAAAGCGATCTGGAACTGCTTGGCGTTACTGGTGTCGAAGACAAGCTACAACGCGACATCAAGCCGTCCCTTGAGCTCCTCCGCAACGCCGGCATCAAGATCTGGATGCTTACCGGTGACAAGGTCGAAACTGCTCGATGCGTGGCGGTAAGCTCCAAACTTGTCGCACGCGGGCAGTACATTTACACCGTCGCCAAATTGAAGCGCAAGGATAACGCCCAAGAGCATCTCGACTTTTTACGCAACAAGACTGACGCTTGCCTGTTGATTGATGGTGAAAGTCTGGCGCTCCTTCTCACTCACTTTCGAATCGAGTTCATCTCTGTGGCAGTGCGTCTACCGACTGTCGTAGCATGTCGATGCAGTCCAACCCAGAAGGCAGAAATTGCGACTCTGATCAAAGAATACACAAAGAAGCGCGTCTGCTGTATTGGTGATGGTGGCAATGACGTCTCCATGATTCAAGCTGCCGATGTTGGTGTCGGTATTGTCGGCAAAGAAGGTCGGCAGGCCAGTTTGGCGGCCGATTTCTCTATTGAGCAGTTTTGCCATTTGGTCAAATTGCTTGTCTGGCACGGACGCAACAGCTACAAGCGCAGCGCCAAGCTCGCCCAGTTTGTCATTCATCGCGGTCTCATCATTGCCGTGTGCCAAACCATGTACAGCATTGCTCTCAAATTCGAACCGGAGGGTCTGTACATTGACTGGCTCATGGTGGGATATGCGACTGTCTACACTGCGGCTCCCGTTCTGTCTCTGGTTTTGGACAAGGATGTGGACGAAAACCTGGCCAACTTGTATCCTGAGCTGTACAAGGAGCTCACCACTGGTCGGTCACTCTCGTACCGCACATTCTTCGTTTGGGTCCTGGTCTCCATCTACCAAGGCGGCATGATTCAGGGCCTATCGCAGATTCTCACTGGCGTCGAGAATAAGAAAATGACGGCCGTCAGCTACACGGTGCTCATCTTGAATGAGCTCCTCATGGTGGCGATTGAAATCACCACCTGGCATCCCATCATGATTATCAGCATCCTGGGCACGTTTCTCATGTATATTGGATCCATGCCTTTTCTTGGCGGATATTTTGATTTGGAGTTTATTATTACATGGTACGTTTAGCCCCTTTCTCTTTATTCAATCCGAACGATTGCTGACAGGATGTGCAGGGGCTTTGTTTGGCGAGTTCTTGCCATCCTTTCCATCTCACTTGTGCCACCTTACGCGGCGAAGCTTATTAGGAGAACGATGAAACCGCCGTCGTACAGAAAGGTGCAAAATCGATAGATAGAGAGGCTAGGAGTTTTTTTTTTTGGAGTCGCAGTGTCTGACCATTACAGCTATTTGCCATTTGCCTATGCTTGTATGTTGTACTTTTTAACAATAAAACGCCAGCAGTTCCCAACTATTATCCTGACTCACGAACTCGATTGATGCGCACGCTTGACATTGATCGCAGCCACTGCAACTACTTTGCCTCCCAGACGCGATTTTTCATGGCAGTCGCTGCTCTGCCATCTCCGCCGTTGTCGGTCATGCCGCTACTCCTGTTGCTACTGCAGGTCGTTGTCTCTATGCCAGCACTGCATTTGCGCTCCTCTGAACTCAAGTGCATCATGTAAGCACATGGTCGATGGAATCATGACGGCGTTATTACGTTTCCGTTGGCTCAGCATCTCTACCAAACATCATATTCCTACCAAATGTCCTCTTGGCTGAGGATGCGATTACACTGACGTCATATGCTGCGTATGACCAGCTAATACATGATGCAGTGAATAAGGATGAGCCGCGGTCAACACAATACTCGACCTGGTTTCTCGCATTCTCTCTCTCTCTCTCTCCTCCTTTTT